CCCAAGAGACAGAAAGGGCCACATAAACCAGCAACTTCATCAGCCTGAGACCAGAAGAACTAGATGGTACATGGATGCCACCAATGACTGCCCTGACAGGGAACACAACAGAGAGTCCCTGATGTAGCAGCAGAAAGGTGGAGTGCAAAAGTCAAATTCTAGTAAGAAGACCAGACTTAATGGTCTGACTGAGACTGGAGGAACCCCGGAAAGCATGGTGCCTGGATTCTCTAGCAGCCCAGAACTAAAACAATTTCCGAGGGCAACTCTTTAGACAGGGATTGGACTGGACTGTGGGACATAAAGCGGTACTCGTGAAGAGTGTGCCTCTTAGCTCAAGTCGATACAAGAAACTAAACGGGCAGCTCCTGTCCAGAGATGAGATGGGAAGGCAGAGAAGGTTAGGAGCTGGTTGAATGGACATGGGGAATCAGGGGTGGAAAGGAGGAGTGTGCTGTCGCAGTATGGGGTGAGCAATTAGGGTCACATAACAATGTATGTATAAATTTTTGTATGGGAGACTAACTTGAAATGTAAACTTCATTTAAACTACAATAAAAAAAAGAGAGGGATTTCTTATATTTAAAAAATTTTGTGTAAACTTTCTTATATAAATAGTAAGAACCTTGAATTTGGAAACTTCACATATCCTGAATACTTTGAAGTGTTTAACAACATCTCAGGATCAGATGATCTTTTTACTACACCTCTTTACTAGATGTTATTTTATGCTGAGACTAGTTTGTCAGTAGAACAAAATTTCTAATGTAACTGAAGGTTTGTTGAAGACTGAGATCAACAATTCATTCACCATTGTTTTCTCTCCCTTCCTTCCTTCCTTCCTCCTTTTTTCTTCCTTCTTTCTACCCTTCCTCCTTTCTTCTCCTCCTTCCTTCTTTCCATCATTCCTTCGTCCCTTCCTCCCTTCCTCCCTCCCTCCCTTCCTTCTTTCCTCATTCCCTCCCTCCCTTCCTTCCTCCCTCCCCCCACTTCTTTCCTTCCTTCCTTCCCTATTTTCCTGTGTTTGGTTGTTGTTATTGTTAGCTGCCATGGAGTCAGCCCCCAACTCATGTTGACCCCATGCAAAACAGAACAAAACGCTGCCCTGTCCTGTGCCATGGCCATGATTCAATGTGGATCAGTCTGTTGTGATCCATAGGGATTTCACTGGCTGATTTTTGGAAGCAGATCACTAGGGCTTCCTTCCTAGCCTGCCTTATCCTGAAAGCTCTGCTGAAACCAGTTCAGCATCCTGGCAACACGCAAGCTTCCACTGGCAGGCTTGTGTTTGGTAGCTGTCTTAGTCATCTAGTGCTGCTCTAACAGAAATACCACAAGTGGATGGATTTAACAAAGAAATGTATTCTCTCACAGTCCAGTAGGCTACAAGTCCAAATTCAGGGCACCAGATCCAGGAGAAGGCTTTCTTTCTCTGTCAGCTCTGGAGAAAGGTCCTTGTGATGCATCAGTCTTCCCTTGGTCAGGGAGCTTCTCTCCGTAGGAACCTCAGGTCCAAAAGGCACGCTCTGCTCCCAGCACTGCTTTCTTGGTGGTTTGAGGTTCCCATGTGTCTCTGCTCGCTTCTCTCTTTTATATCTCAAAAGAGATTGGATTAAGACAGTATCTAATCTTGTAAACCTAATCAGCATAACCTCATCACAGTGACACAACTTACAACACATAAAGAGATCACATATAACCTCATCATAGTGATAGAGTTTACAACACGTAAGGAAATCACATCAGATTACACAATCATACATTACTGCGAATCATGATCTAGGCAAGTTGCTACACACATCTTTGGGGGGACACAATTCAATCCATAACTGTAACAGTACTTGGTTTTGTTTTGTCTTGTTTTTTCACAACATGTTAAACATATAAAAGTAGGGATGCTTTTGATGACATAGGAAAGAAGAACCTCAAGTGCTGATCACTTGGCCTCAGTCAAACATCAAAGGTTGTCTATATATAACAGTCAAGGAATCCTTGTTTTCTTTTTAAACCACTGATGAGATTTACCTCAAAGTAAAGAAAAGACAATTTATTATGAAGTGTGCTCTACAGCGTTTTTTTTCTTTGGGATACTAATTTGAGAATTCAAGCTATCTGGAAATAAGCGTTAGGGTTTCTGATTATAATCAAATTGTATTTGCTTTTCCTTCATTCTTTAATGCAGAAGTATAGACTGCTATCACGTTGCTTGAAATTGTTTTAAAAGACAGCCTTTTTAAAAGGTGTATTTCTTTACCAGTTTAAAGTTAAAATTTTAAATTTCGTCTATTATATACATATGTATATACATATATACCTGTTGCCATAGAGTTGATTCCAACTCATAGCAACCCTATAGAACAGAGTAGAACTGCCCCATAGGGCTTCCAAGGAGCACCTGGTGGATTTGAACTGCCAACCTTTTGGTTAGCAGCCGAATGCTTAACCACTGTGCCACCAGGGTTTCCATGTATGTACACATATATGCTTGTGTCTATGAGCTCGTATATTCTGGCTCAATGTATCCTCATGGATTTTCTGCTGTTTTCCTTTACAGCATAGGTGGAGACGTAGGGCGAGGCCACGAAGGGAATTACGTGGGCAAACATTTCCGCATGGGATTCATGACAATGCCTGCCCCTCAAGACAGACTTCCTCATCCTTGCTCCAGTGGCTTTTCTGTGAGATCGCAGTCCCTGCACTCGGTGGGAGGTACAGATGACGACAGCAGCTGTGGCTCCCGGAGACAGCCCCCGCCCAAACCCAAGCGGGACCCTAGCACCAAGCTGAGCACCTCATCGGAGACAGTCAACAGCACAGCAACCTGTAAGGGCGGGAAAGCCCCCGAGAGGACTGAAGGTAAAACACGCTATGCTCACTGCACCTAGAAAAGTATTTCAGACAACACGTTCAGGCCCACATGCTAAGAAGCATCTGCTTTCCTTTCTGGGTCACATAATCCTGCCTCGTCACTCTGAAGTCCCAGAAAATAAGAATCCCTGCGAAAGGTTATTTATTGGTGTGTTATCAAATGACACTTAGAAGAATGTATTTAACTTGTATCATCAGAAAGGGAAGGCAATATGTGAGTTTTCTTACCCTCAGAGCTTCAAATCATTAGAAAATTGTTTTGTCTAAAAATACATCTAAAATGCAAGTTTTCTTCCTTCTATTAATACTATTTGTATAATTATAAGCAGTGCCGGAGTCACAACGGTTATGTACTAGGCTGCTAATCCAAAGGATGATAGTTGAAACCGACCCACTTTGCCGGAGAACGACCTGATGATCTGTTCCCTGTAAAGATTACAGACTAGAAAACCCTACGGGGCAGTTCTACTCTGTCACATGGAGTCACAATGAGTCGAAATCGACTGGACTGTACCTAACAACATTTATGTAATTATAGAAGCATTATGAGATTACTAGGGAAACATTTTGATGCAGGAAAATATAAAGAAGAAAAAAAATGATGATCTTTTAGAGATAACCATTTGTTAACATCTTGGTGTATTTCTTTCCAGTGACTTTGGATTTATGCACGCTTGTATGTACGTTTTGCAGCAGACACACACGATCGTGTTTGTGTGTGTGCGTATGGTATATATTTCAGCCTCCACTTCAATCTCTATCTCTAATTTCTACTTATACGTGCGTTTTTGCTCAGCTATGAAATAACAAAAATCAGATGTACTTCAAGCCTCCTATGAATATAAATTAGGTCATATTAACTCCTGATTTCACTGGCTCTTCAGCTCTTCCTTGAATAAGTGAAGTCTCAGCTTGCTTGAGTTGTTCCTGAAAGACGGTTGGTGTGAGAGGTTCTCCAATGATTTGGGCCAAAACACCGTAAACCAAAAAAAACAAAAGCCTCAGTGCACATTGAATAATGCAAGTCAGTGCCTGGAGGTGGAGCTAACCCATCAATTCCACAAGGAAAATCTCCCTTTAAGCTCAGTTTTTCCTACCACATATGTATGTTAAGAATACATTGCATGCATGTGTAAATGTTTGAGATGTACATATGAATAGCAAGTGTTAATGCATATTACTAAATTGTAATCATAGCACATATAGTTTTGTGTTTTATGTTATTACTTGTTCTATTATGACTATTTTCCATGACATTCAACATTTTTCAAGAAGCAATCTTTTTGAAGAAATTAGTGAACATCACTGTAATTTATTTAATTGTCTTCTTGATGAATAGTTAGGTTGGTTCCAATTTGTTTTGCTATAATGAATAGTGCTGTAATGAATTTGGGTGTGTATATGTGTGTTTATATATGTATCACGGGATCACTATGAGCGGAACCGTCTTGATGCACCTAACAACATCTTTGTGTAACTCTCTTTATTATTCCTCTGCCTTCTTAGAGAATATTAGAAATGTGATCTTCTTTTTCATGATGTCCTTCAATCTGTAACACAGTGATGCTTGCAGAAACAATTTAGGTGTAAAGTTCCCTAGAGACTTGACCTTTGAACATTTTAAATATTGCTCTTAGGTGTCCTCCAAAATTGATACAGGGTAGATTTCACTTCTCTTTATTGTTTCCATCAACCATCTCCTACTTCTAATGAGGAAAACTGCATCATCAATTATATTAGATTGTTTGTAAAAGATGGTTACTGACTTACAGTGGTGGTCTATGAATGAAGACGGTGGGCCTTAATGCAGTCTGGAATGATTCGGGAATAAAGAATAAAAGAACCATGGGCTGGGGAGAGGAGATGCGAGACAGAAAAAGAGAAGCAACCACTAAAGAATGGGTTTAATGGTACTGTAAAAATTCCTGGAAACTGTAAACACACCCTGCAGTATCCCTTTGGGCAGGGTAGCCAGGGTCTCTATAGAGACAATATGGGGAAAATCAAGAGTATTGGCTCAGAGAAGAAAAGTTTGGATGGTGATTCAAACAGCATTAAAATAGAAATGATTACAACTCATCTGAAATGCTTCAAATAACTAGCTCCTGAGATCGAGTGGTTTTGTAATTCTCTATCAGTCTTCTTCATGATCTAAGAATCTAGGATTCCAAATGGCTAGTTGTTAAAAAGAAGGCAACAGCTATATAATTTTTTTTTTTTCTTCTGGGGGGCTGAAGAGGAGAGAGTGACTAAATTATAGCAGCAATGTTTTAAGGTAGACTTGAAAAACTAGGTAGACAGTGGAAGTTGTTAAACACTAGGTCCAACTCCAACATCTCTTTTCAACAGGAGCTCTAAGGACAGATGGACAAAGCGTTTGGCTTGGAGGATGGTTACTGGACATGATGAGCTGCTAGGATCTGGTGCAGAAATGGTAGATTTCTACGGAAGGGTGATCGTCAATGCTAATTTCACTTCCTCTTCAGAGCACTCAAAAAGGCAACTGTAAAACTGGACACACTCAAACCCCTTCTACCAAGTTATGACCTCATCAATAACAGAATAAAATCAGGCATCAGTTCAGAGTTGGGTGAAAAAAAAAAAAACTTTAGTCCAAATGCATGCATGTATATGTGCGTACTCAAGCCAACATGTTATAAATACGTAGATTGCTTTTTCAAATTCTCAGTTCTTTATAATCATGAGTTAGCTGGAGTTCATTATAGAACATTTTTTTATAATATTCCTAGCTATCAAAATTATAAAAAAGATAAAAAGTGACTTTCATAAATGTTAGTCTGTCTTTTCTTTTTACGTTAAATGTCAGCAAAATCAAAATATTGATTCAGTGGCATTAGAATGATCTCCATGGTAACCGGTTTCTATTTAAGAAGAGGATTATGACTTCCCTGTGGATACAAGTAAAAAAGAACTGGACTTGGAGCAACATGGCTTTTCAGAGTAGGAAAAAAAAAAAGTAGCTTAATGATGAACACATACAAAAAAGATCACATACAAAGAAAAGTATAATTTAGTTTTAAAAATTGTAATTCTGTCACATTGAAAAATATGCATTTATTTTTCTATTTTAGGATCTTCTACAATAGTAACACCTTTTTAAAAAAACATTTATACAGTGGAAAACGTAAACTGGCAATAAGTATGCTTATTATTTATAAATATTTTAATGACTTCTTTCTGTTGCCTCAGCGTGGTCGCTACTAATTCTGAGGAAAGATTAGATGAAATGAAGGGAGATAACCAGAAAGAATGAGAGGCCTTCCAGGCTGTGTTTCATATGTGATCCAGATAAGGCAGGGGCTGTGCAACCTTACTAAGGGGAGAACAGCAAACTGCAGACTAGTCACCCTCCTCTCTCAGGTAAACACATACCCCACTCCTCAACAAAGTCACCATTAGACAAGATGTCAGAAGAGCCCAGTCGGAACAGTTTTTTTGTTGGGTGCCATCAAGTCGATTTTGACTCCTAGCGACCCCATGTGACAGAGTAGAACTGCCCCTTGGATTTTCTTGGCTGAAATCTTCACGGGAGCAGATCACCAGGCCTTTCTCCTGTGGAGCCTCTGGGTAGGTTAAAACTGCCAACCTTTCAATTAGCAGCCGAATGCTTAACCATTGCACCACCCAGGGCTCCATAGTCAGAAGAGACTCTAGAATTTAAAAAAAAAAAAAAAAAAGTGACTTGACAGGCAAATGTTGACTCTGGGCGAGTTACCCAAGGTGTATGAAACTGTAGAAAGGGGTGATTATTGAGTGTGTCCTGCCTCCCTCACAGCCTGTAATAATCCAGTGGGCTAAGGCCAATGATGGTACATGGTAAAAAGAAATTTCTATACAAATAAAAGTTAATACCATTTTAAATGTGTTGTTAAAAAAAAAAAAAAGGTACATTGCTATTGAGTCAATTCCAATTCATAGTGACCCTATAGGACAAAGTAGAACTGCCCCATAGGATTCCTAAAGCCATAATCGTCACAGAGGCAGATTGCCACAACTGTTTCCCATGAAGTGGCTGGTGGGTTTGAACTACCGACCTATAGGTTAGCAGTTAAGCACCTATAACCACTGCAGTTACAACCTAGTCATTGACATATTTTTTTCAAAACCTGTTTCTCCACAAATGTGTCAGAATGTCAGCCTCTCTTAGTGTTCGTGTGAATAACATGAATCTTTGATTTAGTGCAGCACATATGTTGAAACATGTAAGAAAGGAAAAGAAAGGCCATAAGCACAGACACGCAACATGTTAGAGGCTTAAAAATATTTTAAAAAATGACTCAAATAAATAGAGGAAGGTTCCACAATTGTGATAGTCTTATAACATTATGATATGACTGTAATATTTTGTATAATGAGGGGAAACACGTTTTTATTAAACTTCAAGTGCCTCTAGACTTTAGAGTCCTTTTTAAAAAAAATCTAAGTGTTCTCAACTCTACCTTTGGGTAATTTTCAATCTTCAGTTTATGATATAATTTCATGACTATCTCATTATGAAATAATGAGGAACTACTTTTGAATTGAGATAGTTGTCCTGGTTTCTGATTTTATCTTGTATAGAAATTCTACTATAGTTATATTTTCTGAACCAAAAATTGGAAGACCTCCTTTAATATTTGGAATCATGGTTGTCCTGAATGATTTGAAACATGTAGTTGAGCCAGAACCAGTCAAAGGCTAAGTTCATTAAAAGTCACTGCCCTAGAAACAAAAATAAAAATTCTCTGTACTTGCCATCTCAAAGGTCCCAAAAAAGGAAGTTAGAGCTGTTCAGTAATGTTGTTTGTCCTGCCTCCATTTATTAAGCAAATTATTTGAGTTTCTATCATACTGTGCTTGGCACTGGGGATTCCACAGTGAACAGAGAAGTACTGATCCTTTCCCTGATGGAGCTTCCACTCAATTGTCTTCCAACTTTCCAACTCAGCCCATTTTACTTTACCCAGATCACAGTACTTAAATCCAAT